GTAATAAATTATTAGGGGTGACCTGTAACAGAAATAGGAATTGTGCCAGAAAACTCACTTCTAAAACATGTTTCTACTCAGAAAAGATAAAGGCAAACTCTTCCATTCTTTAAGTATGAAACTCCTTTTAAATAAATATTTTAACTAGAGTCAAAAGTGAGTAAAATAAACTTTTTTCATTTCAGTAAGTTACATGTGATGAGAAGTATCATATGACAGGGGGAATAATAATGCTCTGCCATTTTGCTTAATATATCATTTAAGTGGGAAAAAATGAAATTTGGGTAAATAATACTGTATTTCATATAAGCTGTTTGAGTGCTAAGTATGTATTACAGATTAGATTAAATGTTTGAGTAATTCCACTTTTAATCCAACTATGAAAGTCTTCCAAGCAAGGCAGTAGGAAAAGAGATCTCTTAAAAGGACTCTCTAAAATATAGTGGGTGCTATTCATGTGTAACTGCCTTATGAATTAATTGTATGAACTGTATATTTTCTCTTTGGAAGTTTGAATTCTCTTCAATATTTTATAGCTCAGCAGTCCATTTCTTTCATGAAGTTTAAATAAGTGGATAAGTTTATCAGAGAACATCTTATCTAATAAACTTCTCCAGCTAAGGTACTATGCTCAATTCAATTTCCTACTCAACTATTTCCTTACCATTTCATTTGCATCATGTAGCGTGCTAGTTAAACTTTCACTGAGGTTTGGAAGAGACAGTCCTCCTTCTGCTAACGCTGAAAATAAAAATTGTGGGTTTTTTTAAAGTTACAAGCAGAAAATATCCATTTTTATGACACGCAAGTTAATGCCATATTTTTCCTTGTTTGCAGCACAATGCTCTAATAAGGTTACAAATTTCTATCTATCAAATGTCTCTCACTCATAAGAACAGATTTTTAGTCAACAACAAAAACATTCTGACACTTTGGAAATGTAAAAAATGTGCCTTCATTACAATTTGTTCCTGGTACTTGTGCAAGACAGAATAATCCAGCATTTCAGAAATGCAGCCATGCAGCCACTAGGGGCTTTTTGTGCGGCCAGAGCCTCCTGGGCGGTGATTAGGGGGGCAAAGTCGTGTTAACAAACATAGAAATATCACTTTTCACAGAAACAGACTTACTAGCTAGCAAATCTAAAAAAAGAAAAGAAAAAAGCAACAAAAAAGACAACAACATGCAAAGCACATCATTTGTTTCTATTTTGTTTAGGTTCAGTTAAAAAAATAGAGACAACTGTACATTATTTTTATTATTGATTCTGCAATAAAACCCTACATAAATAAATTACAATGATTTGGACATGTACATGCACATATTTATTTGTTTTCCTAACGTTAATTGAGTATTTTAGGAAAAATTGCCAGAGTGGCCACCAGCAAGAGTTGGTGGCCACCAAAAAATGTCTTGTGAGACCCCCTGGAATAAACTAAACGAGTTCTTATGTCAGTAAGATTAAGTTAATTAGTTTAATTATTTTCTTTCATTTATTTACAATTCATAAGCAAACACTTATTTCATTCTGAGATGAGAAAAAATGATGAAGTATCTTACATGTGCCCAGAAACTTGAACAGAAAGTTAAGGAGTACAGACACAGTACACTCTCACTGTAGGCTTACCAGAAAAAATATGAAATGGAATGCTCTTCTATTAAATTTTGAGAGTCACTTTCACATGAACAGCAAAGAAAAACATGTTTAAACCAACCCTAAACTAAACAGATTCTTGAAAGTTAAATTACCTTTTGCAGCCACCAACTGTCCATAGCTAAATAAGACCTCGCCTTCTGAGATAGGCTTGTCTGCAGTTTCTGTTTCCGTGACAGTCAGGCTGCTTTCATGTGTTGATGGGCCAGAACTGGGAGCATGCACAGGAGATGGAACCCTTGGTTCACAAGGAAGTGACTCAAAGTGTCTAATTGGTTCAGGAGAAGGTAAAATCAACATCTCTGGTTCTTCATCTTTAGCCACCGACATTACACTAAAAATGTAAGAAAATATTTTGTTACTGCACCAAAATACACTGCACTAAATCTTAAACTCAACATTGTAAAGAAATTCTAATGTACAACGCCTTTATTAAAAGAAGGAGCACAGTATTTCATGGACTGATCTGAATAAAAAATAAAAAATAACCTTAACAATGAGCTCTAATTATCTAACTAAAAATTTGCTTATTGTGTTTTGTCATAAAGAAGTTACTTCCATTAACATAGCAGCAAAAATAGTTCCCCATTTGGTAAAACGATAACAAAAAAGCACTTCAACAGAGCAAAATCTGTTACTAGCAGTTGTAACAAGAACCGGCTTACTAAATATCTTGTCAAATACGATTACAAACAAGTATTGATAAAATCTGGAGGAGGTCCTGATTTTCTTATACCTGTTATATAAATCAGCCTCCTATTCTATTTACTGAATTGTTTATCCCAACACTTCATGATATATACATACAGTATGTCCCTAAAGTTATTTACTATACAGGAAAAAAAGGCAAAATTACTTGAAGAGAAATTAGATAATATATTGATTGTTATAACTCACACAGCTCTTGGATGGAGAATTTCTTCATTCAAAGGACTGGGTTTTTCCTCATCCAGAGGAAGTTCAGCATCACCCCATGGATTTGGAGGTTTTGGGCTTCCCATTCTTGTTGCATCAGAGCCATGTTCTGATACAGGAGGGCTTGGAGTAGTTACTCTAAGAGGTGTATCAACTGGAGTAGCAGCAGGTGTGCCAATAGGAGTAGTGGCAGCTGGAATGTCAAATCCTACACATAGGAAATCAATCACAAAATTCAGACTGGCAAGTAAAACAACAAGTAATCCTCAGGCAAGGTCAAGTTATTTTGTTTCATAAGGCTTTCATATCTTACCTGAAAACATTCCAGTAGTTGTGGGGACTAAACTAATTTAAATAAATGGTTAGCATTTAGCAGGATTAGACAATTGCCTATAGCTCCCATTGACTTCAATGTGATTTGTGGGTGCTCAGCACTTCTGAAAGCCAACCCAATCTAATTTGGATGCTTAAACATGGATTTAACAACATTAGGCATAGATAAAGACGCAAAGGTCAGCCATTTCTCTGACATGGTGAGAGGAAAAGGGATGACTCCCAGAGACAATGCCAATGCAAATTCTGTCTGGTCAAGGCACAACTGATGCCCAATGGAAAACAAAAAAGCATATATTTTAAACAAATTAGCTCAAACCTTTTAAACTATGTGAGTTTCCACCTGCTCTCTCAGTGGAAACACAGACCCAACAGTGGTTATTCTCTGAGATAGTATCTTTGGGGGAGAAAATATTCCATGCCATAAATTAAAGTCAATAGATGTCAGTACACTTGTTCCATCTCATGTTTAAAGATCATTTTCATTACCTTTTTCTGTCATTTGTTCTTGTTCCCCAACATCTCCACCGATTTCTGTCACAGATGGAGAAGAAACTGGAGTTTTTACTGGAGTTGGTTCTTTTTCAGGAAGTGGTGTATGAGGTGGTGTAGCCAATGGAGTAGACACCACAGACTCCTGAAAAAAATAAAAGAAGAAAAAGACATATCATTGAAAATCCAGTAACACTGAGTGTTTTTTCCATTTAAATATGACCTCCTGGAACTCTTCCTAGCAAGCAAGAGGACTTGAAAAACCTTATCTGAAGATAACTTGATCAGACTCCAGTGTCAGAAGTCAGAAATCCTGGCTCAAGGTACAACAAGATGCCTTCATTCAGTGATCAAATGTTTCAATCTGCAGCCTGTTGGAATTAGTCATTCCTCTCGCCACCAAAAGAGGAAGCAAATTTGTCTCTACCAATAAATAACTCTGCTCTCCATGTAACCTTGTCTCTCCTAAGTTTGTTCAGAATTGCTGCCACCAGAGGACATCTTGGAAGAGTGTAACTGAAGTTCTACACATCCTAAACAAGGCAAGTTTGGTCCTCCACTCCCTCATCCATAGAGCACTCATAGAGATTGATAACTGTAGGATAACTCCCTTAAATATGGATAATCAAATCCCAATATTACTATTCCCCTCCTTCAGAGACCAATTTTATGTGCACAGCATTTTAAAAATAAATGTAGCAAACTGCAAAAGAACTCAAGTTTTGAAAACTGAAATTGGTTTAAATCTTGTTACTTATTGGGACTTACTGTAACTAAGAAGCCACAAAGTGCTTGTTCTGATTCAGAATCGCTTTTCAATGTCTTCAGATTGCACATAACCAAAATCCCGGGATTAAAAAAATAAATCCTAACACCCTCATAACTACAACTGGAAACGATAAAAAAATTCACTCTTACTGGCAAGACTGTTGTGCTTTGAAGAACATTTGCAGCAGGAACTGCTTTCTGAGCCTCCCTGTCACCCAGCATGACGGCAATAGTCTCAGTAAGAGCTTCATTCACAAAATGACTAATCATTTCTGAGTTCACTGGCACACCAGCGCTGACAAAGAGCTGGAATCCTCCACCACCTGCTGCCTCAACTAAAAAAGAACACACACAAAACCCAAATTCAAATTTTACTTCTTGATATGGAATGTATCATACTGCAGAGATATAACAATATGCTTAGCAATTTGCATCTTCAAAGAACTTTACATACATTAATGAACTCTCAAGCACTCGTGAGAAAGTATTATTCCTATTTTACAGATGAGGAAACTGAGGCAGATGACTTGTCGAAGGCCGCAGAGGGAGTCAGTGTAAGGGCTGAGGTGAGACTGTGGGAGTCCCTATGTCTCTCTCTAATGTATGTTTATAAGGCAGGCATTTATTTGATATGCCATTCTTCACAAGAGAGATAAAGACAGTCACCCTTGTAGTCTAGCAAAAGTACAATGCGCAGCTGCACTTCGATTTGCATGGAAGGAGGTCTACCAGAATTTGTTTGCAAAGCTGGCCCATTTGTGGAATGTTCTTTATCAATTAATCAGGGTATTTTGCTTTTATTGGCCTACTGACCCCTTTCTTCACCTCCGCATGTGCACAAACACACATCTTTTCTGTGCATTAGTTGATCAGTTTTGTACGTTTAACACCTCTTACGGCTTAGACAGTTAAAACTCCCTAACCAAGCTGTTAAAATACCTTTTAGCCCAAATTTGAGATGGATAGCCTTTGGTCCCATCTGCCTTCAGGCTGGAAAGCAACTGAGAACAACTACAATTCCTACTTACCAATGTCAGAGGTTACAGCCTCACTCTCTTCGCTCTCTGATGCACTCACCCTGGGCACTCTTTCCTGCTGGACGGGGTACATCCCGCTAATAATTCGTGCCATTACTTCTTGTTCCACCCTGACAAAACAAAACTTTTGTATTTCTACCAGCAGGCTCTGAGACAGCCAAATTGACGGCATTCTCAATATATGGGGAAAACTTAATAAGACAAAGGGAAATAGTTCAAAAAAAATACTTGTGTTGATTATGTATTTCTTGCTGCTATTTTATTACCTTCACCCTGACAGGAAACTCACCAGCTAATCAACCTATTTTCTAAAGTTTCCCTCCTTTCAATGATTTCATCCAGAATATCAGCTGGCTGTTGAGAAGCAGGAGCAGCTGGGGGAAATGGAGGGCCATTATATTTTGGAGAAACAACTTCCGTTTGTCTATTAAATTCCAGGATTGGTTCAGACAATTCTGGGATTCCATCCTCCTCCTCCTGATCCTAATTACAATAAAAGCAAAGAGACAGCCTTAAGGATTTTTGCTTTATAAAATAGTTACAGTTGTGTTATACCATACTACGCACACGCTTTCCTTTAACCATTTTGCAGTTAATATACAATATTTCAAGACTACCGACCCATAAATCTGTGCAGTTACAGTGGTACAGAAGTCATTACATAAACAGGATCTGGGTCTCCTGCCTGGGGTGCATGAGGCAGGAAGATAAAGGATAACTGCAATACCTCGGAAATGTACTTGCAACATTTTAACTGAAGAAACAATGTGTGAGGTAGTATATTTTATTGGACCAACCTCTGTTGGTGAAAGAGACAAGCTTTTGAGATTACACAGAGCTCTTCTTTAGTTCTGGGAAAGGTACTCAGTGTCACAGCTAAACACAAGGTGGAACAGACAAGGAGTAAACACATGTTGCAAGAGGCTAATTAAGATGAAGCAGGCGGTTAACAGCTCTACAGTCATAGGATAAAAGGAGGATTACTGGGTTACAGATTGTTGTAATGAGCCATAAATCCAATGTCTTTATTAAGTTCATGATTTTTAGTGTCTAAAAGAGTTATTAATTTTAAGTTCTTGTGTTTGTCTTCTGAAGGTGTTGTGCGAGGTCAGATATGAAGTGATCATTTTGTGAAAAGCAGTCACCCATGGGTGATAGGGTGTTTTTTTCTTTTATCATTTTTCTGTGTGAGTTCACTCGAGAGCGTAGAGATTGTCTGGTTTCACCCCATAATTTTTATTAGGGTGGGACACTGACAGACCAGGTGCCAGCTCATGACAAGGCCACTAGGCCTCACTGAGCACTGACAAAAGCATAGCTGGGAACCAGTCTGGCTCACCTGTGTGTTAGTATTATTAAAATAGACATTAAGTTGATAAGAATGTGTATACTTTTTAGACTTGATGAAACACCTGTAGGATGCTGCATGTATTGATCTCATTTATAAATTCTCTAGCCCGGGGTCGGCAACCTTTCAGAAGTGGGGTGCCGAGTCTTCATTTATTCATTCTAATTTAAGGTTTCGCGTGCCAGTAATACATTTTAACGTTTTTAGAAGGTCTCTTTCTATAAGTCTATAATATATAACTAAACTATTGTTGTATGTAAAGTAAATAAGGTTTTTAAAATGTTTAAGAAGCTTCATTTAAAATTAAATTAAAATGCAGAGCCCCCCGGACCGGTGGCCAGGACCCGGGCGGTGTGAGTACCACTGAAAATGAGCTTGCGTGCCGCCTTTGGCACAGGTGCCATAGGTTGCCTATCCCTGCTCTAGCCCATGGTATAAAGTTACATTGGGTGTTTTCATTGTAAACCTCGGTAACTGTGTAACTCACCAAGAAAGAAGCATTAATTAGTGTAAAGTGCTGGTCCTGCACACAGGAAGGTCCACGGAAACCAAATGATTGTGAAACATCAAAGGACAAAAGACTTTCTTGATTGCCCACCCTCCCCCCACTCCATACACGAAGAGGAGACTGGAGCCAACACTTGTTCCATCCGTTTGAACTCTGGGGGAAGGAAATAAAAATCCCTGACCAGAAAGAACTGCATCACTGTGCTGCTTGGAATTTGGAGAGGGCAACATTTCTAAGCATAAGCAAGGCATCACCAAGCTACTTATCTTGGGTTAACCCTAAAGGGCATATAGAGCTTGCACATTACAGTAGCATCTATTACTTTTTGAAATCTAAGAATGTTACTCATTTGTGTGTGTATGTTTGTCTGCTTTAACCTTGTAAATAACACTCATTTCTTTTTCCTAGTTAATAAACCTTTAGTTAGTTTAATATAGGACTGGCTACAAGCTTTGTCTTTGGTGAAAGATCTAAGGTACAACTGACCTGGGGTAAGTGATTGGTCCTTTGGGACTGGGAGTAACACTAAAAATCACAGCAATATTCAGGTAAGTGACCATCTATCACAAAGGCAGGCTTGCCTAAGTGGCAAGATAGACCACACTGGCCAATGGGACTGTCTGTAACTCCATGTAAAGGCTTTTGTAGTGCGTGAGGAGTTCACACTTGATACTTGGTTAGTGAAATCTAAGGATAGAACACAGAACCAGTTTGGGTTTTGTGCCCTGTTTCTTAACAGTCTGCCCTGAGGTTGGCACTCATGCTTGTGAGCCACTCTAGACAGCTTGACATAGGGCATTTAGTGCACTGGATGAGGTACACCACATGTTTTGATAGGAATGTGTAGGACCCCTGGATCTTGAAAGGTGTGCTGTGGAGAGTATTGATCATATGGAGATAGGTCTGCAGGTTTTGCATCTGTTGTTATGGCTCCACTACCTATCCATCAATCTCCCTCTCAAACACACCCACACCAGTACCAACTTCCTGGACACCACCATCAACTTCAACAATAGAACTCTACAGGCAACTATATAAAAGAAACCCACTGATCACCATACCTACCTTCACAGATCTACTTACCACCCCAAACACACCAAGAAAGCTTTTATCTACAGCCAGGCACTCAAACAACAGAGAATATGCTCCAAGGAGAAAGTCCTGGATACATACCTCAACACTCCTAAAACTGCCTTCACTCAAACAAAGTCACTCCACCAAAGAAGTAGATTGCATCAAGGAACGGGCCAACAAAATGCCCTGAGAGAACCCGTTTTAATACAGGAAAAATAAACCCACTGACCAAACACCCATAGTTGTCACCTACCATCCCACACTGGAACCCAGGCAGGGTATTGTTAAACAATTAGGAGATAGGATATCTCCAATTATGACTGATGCTCAATGGGGACTACCTGAACCCCCTCTTCCGGCTTTCAAACAACCCTCCCACCTCACCCTGCTCATCATCAAAAGCAAGCTCCCCAGAGACCAGGACATACCAACTCAAAGCAGCACCAGACCCTGCCAGAACAACAGATGCAAAACCTACAGACATATCTCCACTACTGTGGTGACCAATATTGCCCACAACACACCTTTCAAGATCATGGGGTCCTACACACGCGGTGTACCTCATCCAGTGCACTAAATGCCCCAATAACAACTATGTGGGTGAAACCAGACAATCACTACACACTCAAATGAACTCACACAGAAAAATGACAAAAGACAAAAACACCCAATCACCCGTGAGCAAACACTTTTCACAAAATGATCATTTCACATCTGATCACGCAGTCTTCATCCTCAATAGAAACCTGCGCAACACCTTCAAAAGATGAGCCTGGGAACTTGGATTCATAATTCTGCTACATACCAAAAATTATGAACTTACTAAAGACTCTGGATTTATGGCTCATTACAGCAATCTGTAACCCACTTATCCTCCTTCTGTCCTAGGGGTGTTAACTGTCCAGTTCTTCTTGAATAGTCTCTTGCAACATGTGTTCCACTTATCTATTCCACTTTGTATTTAGCTGTGACACTCAAGAACCTTTCCCAGACCTGAAGAAGAGCTCTGTGTAAGCTCGAAAGCTTGCCTCTTTCACCAATGGAAGTAGGTCCAATAAAAGATATTACCTTAGCCACCTTGTCTCTCTAATATTGTGAGACCAATATAGCTACAGCAACACTGCAATTATAAATGAAGTCACTTGTAATATGCATCTCAGAAATGCTGTCCCATAACACAGATTTTCAATCTTTTCATGGATATCCATTTTCTGCAGAATTTACGATTTAATTTAAAATAAGTTTCAGTATCACCTGGCTGTGAAGATACGGACCAAAATGTGAATTTATTGAGCACACCAGCAGGTAAACTATAGTTCTAACAGATGTGTCGTTATCTTGGAAGCTTAATGGTAATTTAAATACACACATTTATTTTTTCACTACATTTATTTGCTGAAGAGTTAGAAGGTATTTCTAAGCAATGAAATGCAAGACTAAAAAGCTTAATTTTCTGACCCTGAACCCCTTTTGTTTTTTGTTTCTTTGTGTTTTTGCACAAGCCTCTACACAGAACCATGGCCAATCACGCACATCATACCACACTGTAACGCTTAACAGAGGCACCACAAAGGACCAGATCCTGCAACCTTCGTTTAGCATATAAAAATTTTTACTTATCTAAATAGTAAGAATCATCCAGGAGTGAACACTTTTCACAAAGCGATCACTCTATATCTGACCTCTCAGCCCTCATTTTCAAAGGAAACCTGCACAACACTTTCAAAAGATGAGCCTGGGAGCTTTAATTCACAGCTTTGCTAGACACTAAAAATCACGGACTGAATAGAGATACTGGATTTACGGCGTATTACAACAATCTATAACCCACTAACAAGACCCCCAGCTGCTCAGCCTGCTCCTTTCCTCCCTATCACTGAAGGGGTGTTAACGGGTCACTTCACCGTGAATGGCCCCTTGAAATATGTGTTGACTACTTATGCTAAACAATCTGTTCCACCTTGCATTTAGCAGTGACACTCTGAGGCTATGTCTACACTAGCACTTTTGTCAGTATAACTTACGTCACTCAGGGGTGTGAAAAAAACGCACCCCGAGCGACGTAAGTTACACCGACAGAAGCGCAGGTGTGGACAACACTGTATCAGTGGGAGACGCACTCCCGCCGACATAGCTACTGCCACTCGTTGGGGGTGGTTTAATTATGTCAATGGGAGAGCTCTCTCCTGTCAGCATAGAGTGGCTACACAGGAGATCTTACAGCAGTGCAGATGCATTGGTACAGATGTGCCGCTGTAAGCTCTTTAGTGTAGACATCACCTGAGTAAGTTTCCCAGTCCTGAAGAACAGCTCTGTGTAAGCTTGAAAGCTTGTCTCTCACCAACAGAAGTTGGTCCAATACAAAATATTATCTAGTTCATTTGATCTCTCTAGTAAGAATTACTCACATGAGTAAGACCTGAAGGACTGACCCGTAAGGTTATGTCTACACTGCAACGAAAAACCCACGGCTGGTGCAAGCCAGCTGACTCGGGCTTGCGGAGCTCGGGCTGCGGGGCTGTTTCATTGCAGTGTAGACTTCCAGGCTTGGGC